ATGGTAATCAGAGTTACTCAGACCAAGAAGCTCAAGATTCTCCAACTTAGAAATGTTTGGCGATATAGTTTTTAGCTTCTTGCATCGATACATAGTTAGTCTACGCAGACGAAATAGGTTCTCAATCCATGGAGGAACCTCCTTTATCCCTGTTCTGCAAAAATCCAACACTACGATGCTGTCAGGAACATTTGGGAAGTCTTTGACTTTTTTACACCCACTAATATCCAATCGATAAAGCTTAGTGGCATTGCCAATAGATCTTGTGATCTCTAACAAACCACTGCACTCACTGAGATATAATTCCTCGAGACTCGTTGCTTCTGAGAGATCTGGAATCTTTTTCAGATTCCGCGAGTAAAGCAGATCCAACTTCTTGAGGTGTGGGAGAGGCTATACAAAGAAAGCAAATATGAGTTTTAGAGATGCCCATTACAATACAAAAACAAAACAAAAATGAAGCTGAATATTTACTTTAATTCCCTCCCAAAGCATCTCGAATTTGCTATATTGCATGGTTAGTTCAACAAGAAATTTGCCAGAAAACTTGGAAGGCCAGACTCTCAAGGGACAGTAGGTCCAACATAGCAGTATGAGTTTGTCAGGAAGACAATCTAGGCCCTTGGGTATGTGTATGTCACTAGAGCCGGAGCATAGAAACTGGAGATTTTTCATCCCTTGGAAAGCACTTTTATTTATTTGGATTTTCCCCGTCAAACTAAACAGTAATCCTATGACATTTCCAGTAGCCTAGAATTCACAAAGAACAAAATCTTAGATTTGAAAAACAAGGAAATAGAAGACTGCAGATTATGTAATGCAAAAACTTACAGTATTTTCATCAAGCACATCAGAAATCTCCTTGGTGTCCGTCAAGAATTGTGGTTTTGTAGGATCCTCCTTGACAATTTCTCTACCCATTTGTTGCAGTAATCTATGCATTTGTATGCGTCTGTGTTCTATAGATATAAGAGATTTTTGAGCTAAGACTTCAAGCCCATGACTGACATCCAACCTACTGTTTGCAAAACACCTTTTGAACCTATCAACATCGTAACCAGTAAAAAAACATGCTATATGCAGAAACAGAGTTTTTTCATTATCTCTCAAGGCGTCGTAGCTAAATCTTAGAGTTGATTCAATCTCTCTGTCAAGAGTAGACCTGAGCCATGGTATTGCCTGTATCCACTCGTCCCTGGACATTCCTCGTAGATATGATCCCATAACTCTCAGGCCTAGAGGAAGATCTCCAGCAAGCCATGTAACTTCCAAAGCAAGCCTTTCAAAACCATGATCAGGATACTTTTGACCGAAAGCATATTGGCAGAAGATCTGCAGAGACTCATATTTAGTTGGATATTTCACCTCGTACATATGATCGATCCCGAGTCCAAGTGCCTTGAGAAGTTTTCTGTCTTCAGTTGTAATGATAATAATACTTCCGGGACCAACCCATTCACGCTGCTTTGACATTTCCTCTAGTTGCCACCATTTATCCACTTCATCAAGAACAACCAACACCTTTTTGTCACTCAGCATTTCTTGAGCCCCTCTTAAGTGATGAACCTCAATGTCCCTTTGGTTAAATATTTGAGACAACAAGTTTTTCTGCAAACGCAACTTCAACCTATAGTCGTTACCACATGGCTTTTCATAACTCCCTCTGATATCCTCCAAAAAGGTGCTGAATGGAAAAGCATGAGAGAGCTGGTTGTATAAAACCCTGGCAGTGGTCGTCTTACCAATCCCGGGAGGACCAAAAATCCCAATCACCTTAACTTGTTCTGATTGTAGTATGAACTTTGATTTTATCTCGGTGATGCGAGATTCTATGCCAACAAAGTCATCAAAGTCTTTTGATAGTGTAAAACCAACCACAGCCATGACATCTGAGGCAACTTTGTTGATCATTTCAGCTTCATTTCCACTAACAAAAAAAAAAACAGAGGATATTTCATTAAAACAGTCATCATCATGTACTAAAACATAATATCCAAGTGGAAGTAAAAAAAGAACGAACCAGTTGCTTGAGTGGTAACCAGCTATACCAGCGACATCTTCCAAAGCTTGCTTCCATGCTTTCTTTACCTCTTCTGTTTTCCCCACACAGGTTTTCTCAAAGGCTTTTCCAAAATCTTCGATCTGATACCTAACATCAGATGGATTCACTTTGTAGAAAATGGTCATCACTGTTTGACCAACCTCTTTTCTGCACTTCATGATTTCAACTAACTCATCCAGACACCAGCTTGAAGAAGCGTAATTAGGGGAGAGCAAGACGATGGCTACCCTTGAATGTTTGATCGCTTTTACAAGCATGGGACTGACAGATTCGCCTCGCTTGATCTCGTTATCAATGAAAACATTGATTCCCTTGCTTTTGAACTCTTTCAGAACGTGACTAAGAAAGCCTTCGCGCACGTCTTCACCACGGAAGCTCAGGAAGACGTGATACAACCAAATGAGAGCCAGAGATGATGATGAAGAAGTCATCATCGTTAACAGAAAGAAGAAGAGAATCACTAAGCTTTCAGATCTGAAGAAGACACAAAAAAAGAGGTCTAGACGAGTAAATGCACCTTCTTATTTTACATAAACTAATGGACACACAGCTAGATCTTGACTTCTTTTCAAATTATTCGTAAACAGTCAAGAAAGCACTTTTTTATATATAAAATTATATATATACGGTGTACAGAGGGAGCTAAACACTGATTGTATGGTACACTCCGGTTTATCACCGGTCATCCAATCAATCTGAGGAAATGCCTGGTCGATACGTGCATTACAAGAAAATACTCTGTGGAAGCTGATGATACTTTGGTACACTCATTGCAGAGAAAACAGCAGTAATAAGGACTTAACATATTTGTCAACAGTATTTACAGATTTAAAGCCTTTTCAATTCTAATGAGAAAATTATCTCTGCACAACTGAAAAGGATTTGACAAGTTGTAAGCACATAAGAAGTATTTTTTTATTCTGAATAATATTTACACTAGGATAAGACTTGCGCCTTGCGCAGGATGAATATATATAATTAAAATATAAAATTTTAATATTACAAATTTAAAATTTACATATGATTGTTTTTATATGTATTTGAAATTTTAGAATTTTGGAATTTTGATATAATTATCTATATGTATGATCATAAACGAATCTAGTCAGAAGTGTAGATCAAAACCTAGAATTTAATGGGGACTTCATATATCTTTTCACTTTTCAGTGTTCGAGTGATGGAAAATAAACGGAGTGTCACTGGACTTGATTGGTAGAGTATTAGCAAGTTATCTAATGATTTCTTAAGAAGCAGTTGGTAAAATATTTTCAGTTAAAATATATAAGTTTCAAAACTAATTTAATAAATTTATTTATTTGTCTATTAATATTAGAAAATTATATTTTTAAAATTTAAAAAAGAATAATAATTTTATAAAAAATTAAGTTAAATTTTAATTTATTTTTAAAAACAATATTTGAGTTTTTCAAATACAAATAAAAAATTTAAAATTATTTATCGTCATGATTTAGCATAACCATATGATTTAAATTTTTTAAAAATTAACAAATTAAACATTAACTCAGTTTTATATCATAATATAACAATCTAAAAACTAATTATGGTTATGAGAAGTTTACGTTCACGTGTCAATCCTATTTATCTTCAATTTTTTCTCTTGTTGTGTTTTTTTTTTTTTTTGGTTATTACTCGATATAAATATTTATTTTGAAGTTTATTCTTATTTTGAAGTTTATTCTTATTTTGTTTGTTTGTTTTGACCTCGGATTTAGAAAATACTTAAGATTTAAAATAATTAAAGAGATACATACTTAGGTTAAGATCTGCACTTTATGCAAAATAAATATTTTATAGTTATTTTATATTTTTCTGCATATTATAAAATAATAAATATATATATTAAATAACTAAGAAATCAGTTACCATTATGTAATAAATTGGCGTATGCATATAAATTTAACTATAACTCTTGTTTATTCGCAATTAGGGTAAATAAATCAAAATAATCAATCTTATATATTGTATATGATATATAATTAAGTTAAAATGATATAAACATATTAATATAGCACACTTTTAATATGGATATTTATTAAATGAGGTTTCTACTCACATTATTTTATGATTATTTGCATATTTGTGTAACAAAACTTTACACCAACGATTTTTTTTTTTAATTTGAGATGTTTAGTAGTTTCAATAATTTATAATCATTATAAAAAAAATTGACATATTTAAAAATTAAAATATTAAATTTTCAATATATGTTCAATGCAAATATCAAAATATAAGTATGTATTTTCATACGATGAATAGTTTAATTAAAACGATATGAAGTATATATAAATTAAAATTATTTCTTCATATGGTCATCATTATATTTTAATATAGAAAAAAAATTAAAACCTTGATCCTAAAATTTTATGTGAGACTTTTAACAGTTTTAGTAATTTATACTCATTTTAAAAAAAAATCGAAATACAACATTTACAAAAAGAAATCTAGATTTTTATTATATGATTAATGTAATTGTGTAATTTATTTTAATAATAAAGAAATAAACAAAACGAGAAAAAGTATACATATTGTTATCAAATCTTTATTGTTTAAAGTCATTAATTGTCATATATATATTTTAATCATACTAGGTAATTCCGTAGGTTTTATTTAAGGAAAGCATGCGAAACAATAAATATTTGATATATGCGACCAACTATAGCCTAGGAAATATTATATTGCTAGAGAGTATAAATTTTAGACTATACATTATATCACATGCTCTAGAATCCTTGGAATTTGAAATAGAAGCCAAAGAGCTATGCCACATAGGATTGGGGTTATTTTTAATTATTACAAACTTAAGGTTACAACTTTTTAAATGATTCTCAAATAATATATAGGGGATTCTATTCAAAAGAAAAGGGACTTAACAACAGTATTTACAGAGGTGTAACCTGCCAATGATGTTACTCTTTTCTAGATTCATACCTCAACAAAAGAGTTTAAGACATGTACTTTCCATCTTCCTCTCCACCTAGCAAACCCAGTCTGCTCTTGGCAACTTGTCATCTGTAACACCAAACCTCAAAAGCCTCTGTGATGGTAGCTTTGTTAATCTAATCCCGTGTAGTGTAATTTTTTAATGCACTTCCAGAATTGATTTGCTTTTGTGGTGCTTTGTTCCCATCCAAACATGTCCAAGCATACTTGACTGATCTTTTTATTTTCACCTTTGCATAAACATTATTGTGGCTTATAACCATTTTCATACGAACCTTTATCTCCTGTGCGTAGAAGTTGTAGTCCTCCATCATATTGTTGTTATGAAAATAATCCTGTACACAGCGATGTGTAGGGGATCATAAATGGTATCATTGTGCCAGTCAATTCATATGTCTCTGCCATTATTCCTCGAGTGCTCTACGTGTATGGTCATTGAAAGTTGTTCTCATAAGGCTAACTTCACCAATGATGTCTGTGTATTGAATTGGACAAAACGTTGGTAGATTTTTTAAAGGGGGTGAAGATGATTAGCAAGTTCCGAAACCAGTACACCCAGGCACAGACCTTGCAACTCGGTGTTTGTCTACGCCAATGCCATGAGTTGCTCATAACTTCCGAACCTAAACATCTCCACTGGAATTTAATGCACAGACTCCGTGATTTGACAAACTGGGTTAGTTCGGTGAAGCGCATTGCGACGGTTGAGTAGTCCGAAAGTCTGAAGTGCTTGTTGCTTATGTTTTCTCCACTTCAATTATTTTTTATTCATTGCATACTGGGAGCTAATAACTGATTGTCTTGTATGGTAACAACAGATTGATCAACCGGTTGCTTCTGAACCAATCATCGGTATAACTCTCAGCATCTCTTCCTCTTCACCTTCCTCCCATGGAACAGCTTCCAAGTAGTTCACACAAGCAGTGACAATCAAGTTCCTTAGCAACACAGAGAATCCCCAACGCACTTTCACGTTATGGCACAATTGATCTTCAGGGACATCATCATCAGAGACAACATAGAAAAGTCTTAAAGAGATTGATGTGATAGAGAAAAACCTTGGAATTTCCCCTGAATATAGATGTTATATTGTATATTAAACATTATCACATGAACAGAAAGCAACTAATAAGCGAGGGATAGATATATTTGATGAGTAGTCGCTCTTTCTTCTCACAGCTGCCCTTGTTTTTCCTGTCACAACGAACAATTACATAACCCCATATCAGTGTAATTCTACAGGTGAACACAAAGGTCGATTTGATGATGCTTTCAGAAAGCAATTAGGAAAAGAAACAATTTAGAAAGAAACCTGGAGCATCTGCATTAACTTTTGATTCTGTTCCAGAAGCTCACGCATCTTCTCGCTGTTACTTAGGAGCAGAGCCTGTAAGGAGAGTTAAGAATTAAGACTAAGTGGAAGCACGTTATACTAATCAAAATATCGCATCATGAATTACAAAGGATGTGGATTACAAAACCTGAAGGGGTTCTGGGGACTGCAAGTAATCATGTAATAGCATTCCAGATTCTTGTCTCTGAGAAGTCCCAGCTCCCTGCTGACCTATAACAGCTTGTGGCTGTTGCTGCACATGATAGTAAGGCTGGATCTGCGTCTGTTGCATCATCTGCATCGGATGCAATGGATATTGATACTGGTTTCGCAATGATAGTCCTTGCTCTGATGGCTGAGATATATACTGTATGGATGGGCGTTGTAGCTGCATGATCAACGGCAGCTGTTGAGGAATGGAGTGTGGACTTAGTGACTGAGGAATCGGCAACATAGGAATTCCATAGAACGGCCTACTAAAACCAGATTGCATTAAAGTGTTACATAAAGGAGGCTGGTTTGGTAGCATTTTCGGATCATAAACCCCACTACTACTGAATCCACCATGAATATGACCTGTATGTCGCTGCTGGTTACTCTTTGAATAAAATCCATGAGAACCAACTCTAGGATCAATCAGATTATGTCCTGAAGATCCTGGAATATTGTTGTAACCAGGCACAAACCTAGAGTCGTTCTTCAGCGGAGCCATCTTGTTTGTTTTGTCTGCTTGCTCAACAAATTTCCTGTCTGAAGATATGCTTGGTTCCCGAATCGATGACATCTCAGGGCGTGAAACTGATATCCTCGATGAAAACTCGCTCTGAGCGTTCTCGTCAACATTAGATGTGCCCATGTGGGAGAACTGACTACTTCCATTTGCATCACTGTCGGAATCTTCAACAATGGAGTGAGGGGAGGAAGGATTCCAAAGAGAACCAGAAGAATGTGGCATCACATCATCATTCTCCGCAACTTTATTATCATCACCATCACCACCTTCATCATCCTCAAAATGACCCTCATCTTCATCATAACCACCTTGAACTTCATCTTCCTCACCACAATCACCAATATCATCATCATAATCTTCTTCATCACCACTATTATCATCATCATAATCGTCCTCAGCACCACTCTCATCATCTTCTTCTTCCTCATCATCATCATCGTCGTCATCATCATCATTATCATCATCGTCTTCATCATGTTCTTCCTCATCATCATCGTCGTCATCATCATCATTATCATCATCGTCTTCATCATCTTCATCATCATCCTCACCACATGTACTTTCATCGGTTGAATCTATGTTTATGCCCATACATTCTTGGTCATCAGTTTCTTTTCCATCAAGAATACAATGAGGGAACTCCAGAAGTCGTACACCGCAGCTTTCAACCTTCCAGGTTTTATCATGGACTCTGAACACAAAAGTAAGCTCGCTAAAAGTGATTTCTTCGGCTTCAGAACAATCCTGGTCTAGAGAGAAAGAATCTTCAAATATATACATATGCTCTTCAAATCCACATAGAGCTGGCATATGGAGCTGGTTTGATCCACCTCCGACTTTGCAGCCATTATGTTTACCAGATACGGAACAAGAGATGCCCTGCCATGAACTCTCACCCTCTTCATCATCGTCATTGTTGTTATTCCCAGGCTGATCATATACCTTTGACAGCGGGATACAAGCTTTAAATCTGAAGGATGAAGGAAGAGGTCTTGTAGTCAAATTTATAGTTAAGGAACCTGAACTGGCTCTGTGAGTGAAGTGTGCAGGCACTTCTTCACCTGGTACGACCGCATATTTGCAAGCTGATGTCTGGATGAGATTTCTTGCTTTTTGTTTCAGGTTGGAGCAGTCAGAAAAGTTTAGGCAAATCTTTGGATTTTGGAAAGAGGAGGAGTCTATTCTCTTCAAAGATTTACAACCTTGTGCATCTAAAGATAGAAGGGAATCTGGAAGCGGTGGAAGTGCTATGAGTTCTTTGCATTCTTTGACGTCAAGCTTAATTAGTGTCGAGAGACGTCTGATGCAACCTGGAATAGTCTTGATACCATTACTGCTGCGGAGACGTAATGATATAAGAGATGTAAGAGCCTTCTCGGGTATCCATATCGGCAAAATGTAGTCAACGCCCAAGTCTGATCGTAATCTCCAACTGCGCTTAAAGTCAGGTCCCCACTCGATTATTGCTTCAAATAAGTCATCACACTTATATATTTCTCCATCATCTTTATATTCATCTACAAAATGAAAAGATAAACTAGGGTAACTATATTTACTCAGACCAAGAAACTCAAGATTCTCCAACTTAGAAATGTTTGGCGATATTGTATTCAGCTTCTTGCATCCATGCATAATTAGTTTACGCAGACGAATTAGTTTCTCGATCCTTGTAGGAACCTCCTTTATCCCTGTGTCGCACAAATTCAACTCTATGATGCTGTTAGAAACAACTGGGAAGTCTTCGATGTTTGGACACCTTGATATATCCAATCGATAAAGCTTAGTGGCATTGCTAATAGAGTTTGTGAGCTCTGACAAACTTTGGCAGTCGTCGAGATATAATTCCTCGAGATTCCTTGCGTTTGAGAGATCTGGAACCTTTTTCAGATTTCTAGAGGAACTCAAATCCAAAATCTTGAGGCATGGGAGAGGCTATACAAAAAAAAAAACAAAGAAAGAAGACAATATGATTATGAGTTTTAGAGAAACAATTACAATACAATTCCAAAAGAAAAGAATTTGAGTATTTTTACTTTAACTCCCTCCCAAAGCATCTCGAATTGGTTAAATCGCATGGTTAGTTCAACAAGAAACTTGCCAGAGAAGTTAGAAGGCCAAACTCTCAATGGGCAATCTTCCCAATGTAGCAATATGAGATTTTTGGGAAGACAGTCGAGGCCCTCGGGTGCGCATAGGATGTGAGTATCGAAGTATAGAAACTCGAGATTATTCATCCCTTGGAAAGCACTTTTACTTATTTCGATTGTGTCCCTCATAGACAACATTATGCCTTGAACATTTCTAGTGGCCTAGAATTCAGAAAGAACAAACTCTCAGCTTTTAAAAGCAAGGAAATAGAAGACCATGCAGATGCAAAATATAATGAAAAAAACTTACAGTATCCTCATCAAGCACTTTAGAAATCTCCTTGGCTTCCGTTAAGAAATGCGGTTTTCCAGGATTCTTCATAGACTGTTTCTTGGCAATTTCTCTACCCACTTGTTGCAGTACACTATGCATTTTTATGATTCCGTCTTCTGTAGATATAAGAGATTTTTGAGCTAAGACTTCAAGCCCATGGTTGACTTCCAAACTACTGTTTGCAAAATACTTTTTGAAGTAATCAACCTCGAAATCAGCAAAGAAACATGCTATATGCAGAAAAAGAGTTTTTTCATTATCTCCCAAGGCGTCGTAGCTAAATCTTAGAGTTGATTCAATTTCTCTGTCAAGGGTAGACCTGAGCCATGGTAGTGCCTTTATCCACTCGCCCTTGGACATTCCTCGCAGATATGATCCCATAACTCTCAGGCCTAGAGGAAGATCACCAGCAAGTCTACTAACTTCCCAAGCAAGCCATTCAAAACCATCATTTGGAGACTTTTGACCGAAAGCATAGTGGCAGAAGATCTGCAGAGACTCATCTTCAGTTAGATAATTCATCTTGTAGATATGATTGATTCCGAGTCCAAGTGCCTTGAGAAGTTTTCTATCTTCGGTTGTAATGATAATAACACTTCCGGGACCAAACCATCCACGCTGCTTTGACATTTCCTCTAGCTGCCACAAATCATCCACTTCATCAAGAACAACCAACACCTTTTGGTCTCTCAGCATTTCTGGAGCCCCTCCTAAGTGACGAACCTTAATGTCCCCTGTGTTGAATATTTGAGACAACAGGTTTTTCTGAAAACGTAACTTCAACTGATAGTTATTACCACAAGGCTTCTCATAACTCCCTCTGATATCCTCCAAAAACGTGTTGAATTGAAAATCAGGAGAGAGTTGGTTGTATAAAACTCTGGCCGTGGACGTCTTTCCAATCCCGGGAGGACCCCAAATCCCAATTACCTTAACGTCCTCTGACTGTAGGATCAACTTTGAGTTAATCTCCGTGATGTGAGTTCCTATGCCAACAAAGTCATCAAAGTCTTTTGATGGTGTAAAACCCAACACATCCATGACATCTGAGGCAACTTTGTTGATCAAATCAGCTTCATTGCCACTGACAGAAACAACAGAGAATATTCATTAAAACAGTCATCATCATGTACTACAACATAATATCCAAGTGGAAGTATAACAAAAGAGAACGAACCAGTTGCTAGAGTGGTAACCAGCTATACCAGCGACATCTTTCAAAGCTTGCCTCCATGACTCCTTCACCTCTTCTGTTTTCCCCACACAGGTTTCATCAAAGTCTTTTCCAAAATCTTCGATCTGATACCTAACATCAGCTGGATTCACTTCGTAGAAAATGGGCATCACTGTTTGACCAAGCTCTTCCCTGCACTTCATGATTTCCACTAACTCATCCAGACACCAGCTTGAAGAAGCGTAGTTACGGGAGAGCAATACAACCGCAACCCTTGAATGTCTGATCGCTTTAACAAGCACAGGACCGACAGATTGGCCTCGCCTGATCTCGTTATCAATGAAAGCGTTGATTCCCTTGCTTTTGAACTCTTTCAGAACGTGGCTAAGAAAGCCTTCGCGCACGTCTTCACCACGGAAGCTCAGGAAGACGTGATACAACCAAATGAGAGCCAGAGATGATGATGAAGAAGAAGCCATCATCGTTAACAGCAAGAAGAAGAGGATCCCTAAGCTTTCTGATCTGAAGAAGACACATAATGGTAAAGACGCGTAAATAGAGAGGATACACAGGTAGTAGGTTTTGACTTATTTGCAAGTGGAGAGGAAACAGTCAAGAAATGCACATTTTTATATACAAAAATTATTTGTATTCACTATTCAGTTCAGTGCTAAAAACTGATTGTCTTGTTTACTCCGGTTTATCCCGGTTATCCGATCAATCTGAGAAAATGTCTGGTCGCATTACAAGACAATACTCGGTGGAATCTGTTGATACGTTGTGATTGTTGTCTCCAAGATCAAACGAGTTTTTATTCACAGAAAAAAGGCAGTGATCGGTGGAGTTTCTGCAAATTTGAAGCCTGTTGATTTCTAAGGAGGAAATATCTCTTCTGCGCATTTGAAAAGTACTTAAACATTTATGTGCACAGTATTTACAGATTTACAGATTTACAGATATAAAGCCTGTTTAGTTTTATGAGGACTTAACTCTAATTGAAAAGGACTTAACATGTCTGTCAACAGTATATACAGATTTGTGTAACCTGCCAATGATGGATTTGGCAGAGTACACACACAAAAAGAGACCTACACAACAACAAGAAACACATGATGTTACTTTTCTAGATATCAGACCTCAACAAAAGAGTTTAAGACATGTCCTTCCCATCTTCCTCTCCACCTAGCAAACCCAATCTTCTCTTGGCAACTTTTGATCTGTAACACCAAACCTCAAAAGCCTCTGTCAAATCCGGATACACCCCATTCTTGCTTAACCACTCAGTCAATATCTCAGCTTGGTCTGAAGATGGCAACGCTAGAATTATAGACACAAAAGAAGATTCTAAAGCTTGCCATATCTCTCCATCTATTTTACATCTCACCCCTTCCTCCTTATCTTCTTCTTGATTGGTTACTGCTGAGTCAACAAGAGGCTTTGCTTCTCTTACAAAAGGAAGCCATAGTTTCACCATCTGAAGCCGTTTCACTGTTGGTAATATCACAGTTCCATAACCAATCGCCTCTACAACTTTTGAAGTCACCTCAGTGACATTAACTCTTATCTCCACCGTCTCTGCAGCCGTTTCCATCGCTTCAACTACCTTAACTAACTTTTCAGACGTGTCCACCCATGTTACAACAAAATCTCTAACCATTTCCATCTTCGTGAGTATCTGATAAGCCCATGATAAATCCGACACAACCATCGTTAAATACCCGTTCCTGCTGGTGACTTCCTCCTCAGAATCCAAGAAAAGAAGAAAGACGATACAGAGAACAATTATTAGAAAGTTTCCAGAACAATTATTGATATACCTGTATTCTGTGGATCCTTTGCAATCGCAATCTGGATTTGTTTGGGGTGGTTTATGCTCTGTTTATAACAGTGGTGTGAGAGGTATGTTCATCAACAGCAAGTGGTGACTCTACTACAGCGTGGACGTAGCATGATTTTTGAGCCTGCAACTAGTGCACGACCAGAAACTGCAGATTATGAACAACATGGTTCTGTTTCAGTGTTGCTACACCTATTCCGACTTGTCTCCGTGATCTCAGATTTCAGTGGTAGAAAGCATCTTCAGAGATTTAAGCTCATCCAAATCCGTTTCAGATTGTGTTTCGACAAGGAAACAGCGGAGGCTCTCAACATCATTCCTATGATAGGCAGCATCTCAAAGTGTTAGGCAAAAAGAGGTTGACGTTTGATTATGGGAGCTTTATACAACTTATTCTCGTTGACATTAAATTTCACTTGAAGCACAGGTGGAGTACTAAGCTGTTAAACCGAGTTTCAGATGTGTCGGTTGGTATGGAACAGTTTATGGAGTGTTCACCTTGGGAATGTTTACAATCAAGAGTTACACTAGTGGTCCACATATGCCACGCCATTCATCAACCAAACAGAAAAGAAGTGATACAAGACATGGATGTTCAAGTTTAAACAAAGCATGTTGGAGTTGCTTTTGTTGCAAGCCCTGGAACATGTTCAAAGAGAGAAAGAAGTGAGATATTCACCATGAAAGTGAGAAGTGAGATCAAGAAACTTTATTCATCATTACCAGAAATAGAGTACATGGACGAATATAGAGAGAGCAAGAAACTTTTGGTTACTCGAATCCAAACGATCAAATATTTGAATGTCCAGACCTAAATGAATAAATCCCTGATTGATTTGTGCCAGGGTTTTTGAGACTGAACTTCTTTTCTTGGAAAATTACATTGGCATGGAATCAGAAAAATCAAACAGCATCACAACTTCAAGTACCTATACAAAGCTTAACCTTATTCGTTTCCTGCTCCTCGTCTCTTCATCCTTATCACCACGTCTATATTCTTCCCCTTCAGTATCATTGTTTGCTTCGGTGTTTCCTGCATAAAAAAAGAGTCATTATAATTCTCCTCAACTCTATTATTATTATCACAATCACCAACTTCATAATCCTCACCATGAGAGTCATCATCACCACATTCATTTCCCTCACCACTACCACCATCACCATCATCTTCCTCACCACCATCATCACTATGACCACTTTCATTGTTTGCCTCTAAAAGTTGTACACCGCAGCCTTCGACCTTCCCTGTTTTATGATGGACTCTAAACACAAAAGAAAGCTCGCTGAAAGTGGTCTCTTCGGCTTCAGGAAAGTCCTGATTTAGAGTGAAAGAATCTTCAAATATATACAGTTTCTTTTTACGTCCATATATAGCTGGCATCTGGAGTTGGTTTGATCCACCTCCAACTGTGAGGCCATTTTGTTTACCCCTGACGTAATAAGATATGTTCGTCAATAAACCCTCACTAGTATCCCCGAGATGATTATATACATTTGACAACAAGATACAAGCTTTGAATCTAAAGGATGAAGGAAGAGATCGTGCAGTCGAATTGATCGTTAAGGAATCTGAACTGGCTCGGTGAGTGAAGTGTGCAGGCACTTCTTCACCCAGTAAGATCGCATATTTGCAAGTTGATGTCTGGATGAGCTTTCTAGCTTTTTGTTCCAGGCTGAAGCACATAGCAAAGTTTAGGCAAATCTTTGGATTTTGAAAAGAGGATTCTATTCTCTTTAAAGATTCACAACCGTGTGCATCTATAGATAGAACTGAATCTGGAAGCAGTGGAAGTGCTACGAGCCTTCTGCATTCTTTGACGTCAAGTTTAATAAGTCCTGAGAGACGTTTGATGTAATCAGGAATAGTCTTGATACCATTACAGCGGAGACGTAATGATATAGGAGATGTAAAAGCCTTCTCCGGCAGACATATCGGCAAAATGTAGTGAACTTTGAAGTCTGATCGTAATATCCAACTGCGCTTAAAGTCAGGCCCCCACTCGATTATTGCTTCATAATAATGATCAAAAGAACAGTAACCATAGCTACTCAGAGCAAGAAACTCAAGATTCTCCAACTTAGAAATGTTTGGCGATATAGTTTTCAGCTTCTTGCATCCATGCATAATTAGTTTACGCAGACGAAATAGGTTCTCAATCCATGGAGGAACCTCCCTTATCCCTGTTTCGCACAAATCCAACTCAACGATGCTGTCAGAAACATTTGGGAAGTCTTTGATGTTTGTACACCCTGGTATATCCAATCGATAAAGCTTAGTGGCATTGCCAATAGAGCTTGTAAGCTCTAACAAATTTCTGCAGCCATCGAGAAGTAATTCCTCGAGACTTGTTGCTTCTGAGAGATCTGGAAGCCTTTTCAGGTTCCAAGAGTGACTCAAATCCAAAATCTTGAGGCATTGGAGAGGCTATACAAAAATAAAAATAAAGAAGAAAATATGAGTTTTAGAGAAATGACTAATCAGGCAATACAATACAATACAAAAATATGAGTTTTTTACTTTAATTCCCTCCCAAAGCATCTCGAATTCGCTATACTGCATGATTAGTTCAACGAGAAACTTGCCAGAGAACTTGGAAGGCCAAACTCTCAATGGACAGCCGTTCCAATGTAGCAATATGAGTTTTTCGGGAAGACAGTCAAGGCCCTCGGGTATGCTTAAGGTACTAGATTTTAAGTATAGAAACTGGAGTTTATTCATCCCTTGGAAAGCGCTTTTATTTATTTGGATTTTCTCGCTCGTATGCAACATTATGCCAAGAACATTTCCAGTAGCCTAGAATAAATTATTCACAAACAAGAAAATCTCAGTTTCAAATACAAGGAAACAGAAGACTGCAGATGTAAAATAAAACTTACAGTATCCTCATCAAGCACATCAGAAATCTCCCTGGTATCCATCAAGAAATGTGGCTTCTCCAAAGACTGTTTCTTGATAATTTCTCTACCCATTTGTTGCAGTAATCTATGCATTTTTACGCATCCATCTTCTATATATATAAGAGATTTCTGAGCTAAGACTTCAAGCCCATGGTTGACTTCCAAACTACTGTTTGCAAAATAACTTTTGAATCTATCAACCTTGAAACCAGCAAAGAAACATGCTATATGCAGAAACAGAGTTCTTTCGTTGTCTCTCAAGGCGTCGTAGCTAAACCTTAGAGTTGATTCAATTTCTCTGTCAAGGGTAGACCTGAGCCATGGTAGTGCCCTTATCCACTCATCCCTGGACATTCCTCGTAGATAAGATCCCATAACTCTCAAGCCTAGAGGAAGATCACCAGCAAGTATAGTAACTTCCCAAGCAAGACTTTCAAAACCTTGATCTGGAGACTTTTGACCAAAAGCATATTGGCAGAAGATCTCAAACGCCTCAAATATATCTGGAAATTTCATCTCGTAGATATGATCGATCCCAAGTCCAAGTGTCTTGAGAAGTTTTCTGTCCTCGGTTGTAATGATAATAATACTTCCAGGACCAACCCATCCACCCTGCTTTTCCATTTCCTCTAGTTGCCACCAGTTATCCACTTCATCCAGAACAACCAACACCTTTTTGTCACTCAGCATTTCTTGAGCCCTTCGTAAGTGATGAATATCAATTTCCCTTTGGTTGAATATTTGAGACAACAAATTTTTCTGCAAACGCAACTTTAACTGATAATCATTACCACAAGGCTTCTCATAACTCCCTCTGATATTCTCCAAAAATGTGCTGAATGGAAAACCAGGAGAGAGTTGGTTGTATAAAACTCTAGCCGTGGTTGTCTTCCCAATCCCGCCAGGACCAAATATCCCAATCACCTTAACTTCTTCCGACTGTCGGATCAACTTCGATTTTATCTCCCTGATACGATCACCTATACCAACAAAGTCATCAAAGTCTTTTGCTGGTGTAAAACCAACCACAGTCACGACATCTGAGGCGACTTTGTTGATCATTTCAGCTTCATTTCCACTAACAGAAACAACAGAGAATAATCATTAAAACAATTATCATCATGTACTACAACATAATATCCAAGTGGAAGTAAAAAAAAGAAGTGAACAAACCGGTTGCTAGAGTGGTAACCAGCTATACCAGCGACATCTTTCAAAGCTTGCCTCCATGACTGCTTCACCTCTTCTGTTTTCCCCACACAAGTTTTCTTAAAGGCTTTTCCAAAAACTCCAGTCTGATACCTAACATCAGATGGATTCACTTTGTAGAAAATGGTCATCACTGTTTGACCAACCTCTTTTCTGCACTTCATGATTTCCACTAACTCATCCAGACACCAGCTTGAAGAAGCATAGTTACGGGAGAGCAAGACAATGGCAACCCTTGATTGTCTGATCGCTCCTACAAGCACAGGACCGACAGATTCGCCTCGTTTGATCTCGTTATCAATAAAAACAATGATTCCCTTGCTTTTGAACTCTTTCAAAACGTGACTAAGAAAACCTTCGCGCACGTCTGCTCCACGGAAGCTCAGGAAGACGTGATACAACCAATTCCGAGCCAGAGATGATGAAGAAGAAGAAGAAGCCATCATCGTCAACAGCAAGAAGAAGGGGATCACTAAGCTTCAGATCTGAAGAAGACACAAAAAAAAAGAGGCAAAGACACGTGAATAGAGAGGCTACACAGGTAGCAGGTGTTGACTTCTTTGCAAATTGAGAGTAACAGTCTTTGTTTATATATTAAAAAAAGACTAGTGGGCGACCGCGGGGATGCCATATTATTTGTATATTCAGTCTTTGTTTAAAAAAGAAAAAAAAGACTTAACTTCTTTGTATGGTAAACTCCGGTTTATCCCGGTTATCTGATCAATCTGAGAAAATATCTCTGGACAACGGAAAAGGACTTCAACATATCGGTCAACAGTATTTACAGATTTGTGTTAACTGCCAATGATGAATTTTGCAGAGAACACACAAGAAAGAGTAAAACGAGAACTACACACAAAACAGAGAAGCAGAATGTTACGCTTTTCTAGACTCATACCTCAACAAAAGAGTTTAAGACATGTCCTTCCCATCTTCCTCTCCCCCTAGAAAACCCAATCTTCTCTTGGCCACTTTTGATCTGTAACACCAAACCTCAAAAGCCTCTGTCAAATCCGGATACACTCCATTCTTGCTTAACCACTCAGTCAATATCTCAGCTTGGTCTGAAGATGGCAACGCTAGAATTATAGACACAAATGAAGATTCTAAAGCTTGCCATATCTCTCCATCTATTTTACATCTCACCCCTTCCTCCTTATCTTCTTCTTGATTGGTTACTGCTGAGTCAACAAGAGGCTTTGTTTCTCTTACAAAAGGAAGCCATAGTTTAACCATCTGAAGCCGTTTCACTGTTGGTAATATCACAGTTCCATAACCAATCGCCTCAACTACTTTTGAAGTCACCTCAGTAACTTTAACTCTTACCTCCACCGTCTCTGCAGCCGTTTCCATCGCTTCAACTACCTTAACTAACTTCTCAGATGCGTCCACCCATGTTATAACAAAATCTCTCACCATTTCCATCTTTGTCAGTATCTGAAATGCCCATGACAAATCCGACACAACCATCTTTAAAGACAACCCGTTCTTGCTAGTAACATCCTCAGAATCCATTGCTTCTAGACACTGGAAGAATCTAGCAAACAGGTTCTTCACACATTCCTTAACTTCAAGCTTGATTACTTCATCAGCAATCAACAACGGAGCATCATCATCTTCAGTTATCATATACTCAATCTGTTCCTGAGCAGATGCTTTTATGTCACACAAGGGCAACGAAGGAGACGAGGTAGCAAACCTAAAAGCAGAAGAAAAGATTCCACTAACAGCAGACTGATCAACCGGCTGTAAACGAGCAAGAACCGGCTCAGCCTCCGGTCCAATCATCGGTATAACCCTCAACATCTCTTCCTCTTCACCTTCCTCCCAAGGAACAGCCTCCAAGTAGTTCACACAAGCAGTAACAATCAAAGGACAATCAAGCTCCTTAGCAACACAGAGAATCCCCAACGCGCTTTTCACGTTGTGACACAACTGATGATCCTCAGGTTGGACATTATCATCACCATCAGAGACAACGTAGAGAAGTCTCAAGAGATTGATGTGATGATCATAATCCGATTCTTGACAGATGACTTCAACACAGTAACGTGAATCAAGAATCTTGCAAGTGGGCCATTTATCAGAGAGACGGTCTGCAAAGTATCTGCTTTTGTCGGTTAGGATCTTGGAGTGGCAATAGATCCAGTCGTCACGGCCTTCTTCGTTTCTTAGTCTAACAACTATGTCACTTGTGGATCTATCACCAAATGTATATGAAGTCTCAGCTTGTTGATTATCCTGTCCAAAAACAATACACCAATTCAAACACTTCACAAACCATAAACTCATCATTGTCTAAGCATATATACTTACACGTGGCTCCATAGAGTGAAAAAGCTTGGAACTTTACGGTGAAATTGATGTTATTTCAGGACCTGAATGAGTAATCACAATGAAGAAGTGAGATCTAGCTACACATTAACCATAAGTAGAGAAAGCAAGAAGCTTTTAATTACGAGCTCAGACCTGGAAATAGAAAGGCGTCAG